GGAAGCCCCGTCCATCTGTTGCTTTATGTGCTTAAAAGCCTGCTGAGGAATAGCAGACATCATAATTCAGCAGCAAAGCTCCCACTACCTGACAGCTCTCATGTTGGAGGCTACTGATTTGGTAAAGACTAAATCTTGGCTCAGATTCCTTGATCGTGGTCTGCCATAATGCCAGGCAAAGTCATGTGGATTTCTGAGTGAAAGGCATCCCACTTTCCTCCATTTAATTCAATTCAACAAACGTGTTAAGCTCCTCCTGTGTGCCTAGGCACCTTGCTAAGCACTGGAGATACAAAAATAACAATTAACAATCCTGGTCCTCAAGGAGCTTCCATTTAATGGGGGGACAGAATGTAATCATGGTGCTGATGCTGATGATTCTAACCAGCATTTATGTAGCATTTTAAGGACTCCTTTGCATATACTGTTAACCCATTTGATCTTCACAACAACCCTGTGAAGTAGGTACATGCGTTATTGTTGTTCATTCATTTCAGTTGTGTCTGACTCTTCATGATCCCGTTTGAGATTTACGTGGCAAAGATACTAGAGTGGTTTGCCGTTTCCTTCTCCAGCTCATTTTACAGATGAGGAAACTGAGTCACAGAGAGGTGAAGTGACTTGCCTAGGGTCTCACAGCTAGTAGGTGTTTGAGGCAAGATTCGAACTCAGGTCTTCTTGATGCCAAGAAAAATTGTCATCATAGTAATGCCTGACACTTACATAACAACCTGAGTTTTATAAAACATTTTTTTTGTTTGATCCTTAATAACGTCACTCTGAGGTAAGTACTGCAGGCAATATCCCTGGATGGGGAAATAAGCTTTGACAGGTCAGTAACAATTATAGTAATAACCTTGGCAACCCTGAAAGCTTTAAGTGACTGGTTCATGGTTACTTGACTGGTAAGTGGTGGAGGTATGATTCAAACTCAGGCCTCTCTTGACTCCACTTCCAGAATTCTTTCAAATGAGCCACTGCCCCGCCTGTACAGGGCCTATGAGAAAATAAGGGTAGCAGGAGAAAGAACAGTGGTTGCTGGAAAGATCAGGGAAGGCTTCACAGAGGAGGTGGACCAGAGCAGAGCTCTGAAGGAAGAATAATGTATTTTGAAAGACTGGGAACCAACTTGTGTGAATGGCTAGACAGTGGAGTTTGAGGTCTGGTCTGGCTGAAGCATAAAGTGTGTAAAGGTGAATAATGAGACCTCTGGAAGGGAAGGTTCTAGTCAGATAGTGGAGGTAATTAAGTGCCAGGCTGGGGAGCCTGTATTTTATCCTAGACTGTAGACAGTTGGTGAGCCTGACAGTGACTTGGTCAGACTGGGCCTTAGGTAGATTGTTTTGTCAGATTGGAGAGCGTGGAGATTGGAAGTAGAAAGACCAGTGAGGAAGCTATCCCAGTAATCTAGGAGAGGGGAGAAGGCCTGAACTATGGTGGTGGCTGTGTGAATGGAGAAAAGGGGATGTATACATGAGAGATAGCACAGAGACAGAAAAGCACAACCACCTGGCAACTCTACCTTTTTGGCTGTCTCCAATCCCTGTTACATTCTACCTTGTGTTGTATTTAGTGTATATCCCATCACAGGGGAGGGTGAGTACCCTTCTACCTGGGAGGGCAATTGGAAAGGCTTTCTGGAGGACATAGCATTTGACCTGGGCCTTGAGAAATGAAGGATTGCTCATTCTTCTAGGTCAGGTTCCCTGGGTCTTGTCTTGGCATCCCTGGTGCTTTCCATGATGCCCTTCTTATTGCAAGGACTCAGAATTGGCTGAATGGAGCTTCTGTTCTCTGAGAGGTCTCCCTCTGTGCTGGAAGGACCAGGCACAGAATTAGAAGAACAAATGTAGAGAGGGAAAGATGCTTTTGGACCCTGCCTTGCTCTAGGGTCCCTCATCTCTGTAGTCAACCTAGGAGAGTTTGGGGAATGTGATACCTCCTTGGCCATGCTTTACACTGTAAATAGGCTGACCTTCAACACAGTGAATGTAGAAGGGGAAATCAAATACCAGCTTGGTTTTTCTTGGTGAATCTGGCACTGTGACAGAGTCTTTGCATGTGACAGTATTACTAGACAAAAGAACCTCTCTCTCTCTCTCTCTAACACACACTCATAAAAGCTAATTTTTTATGTCCCATCCCCCCCAATCAAAGGCAAAGGAAAAAAAAAAGTCCGACTGTTGAGCCCATTTTTGTCCCTGGGAGCTCCCTCCCCATGGGAATGTGTCTGTATACACTTCTTGGTTTCCTGGTGACAGAGGCTGGCACTGCTTTAGAAAGGTTGGGCTTGAGTGGCTCGTGGACATGCTCCAGCTGCCCCATCCTATCACGAGGCTAGCTTTGTTCACTCTTTAGCCAGAAAATTTAGACTGATAGATGGCAGCTTCTTGATCCCGAGTGCTCTTTTGACATTTGATAGGGACTTTCTGGTGCTGGTAACCAGCTAAAGAGCCCTTTAAAATATGTAGGAAATGTGTCCTTCAGATGCAAACCAGTTAGGGACACTAATGAAACAGTTAAATGTTTCATAGAAAACATTTGGTTTGTTATTCATTCTGAACATTCTCTTCCCAACCCCACCCTCCATCTTCCCAGTGATGGGAAGAGGTAGGGGAAGAAATAGGAGACATCATCTATCATTGACATGGGAGGCTGCCCCACAGGCTTATGGCTGTGACATAACACCAGAGTCTTAGGCCTTTCCAAAATTAGGATGCTGTTTCAAAAATGCCTAATTGTAATAGAATCACTCAGCCTCTCTGGGCCTCAGTTTCTTCATCTGTAAAATGGACCAGGTGACCCGAGACCCCTTCCTGCTCTATATCTATGATCCTATAATTTATATGTCTCCAATGATTTTTTTTCTTCTTTTCTTGAAACCTGGAGGTTGCTTGAATGGCCTGTAGGTGGCTTTCAATGTTAAGCTTCCAGTGTATTTAGCACAGTGTTTTGGGAAGTGATTTACCTTCTAATTAAATATGTGTTCTAATTCAGTTAATACAAAGAAGAAGAAGCTTTTACTTTTTTCTCCCATTTTAGGCATTCAGGAGCCTTTTAGTTCATTTTATATAGTATGACATTTAACAAATGTCATTAAATACGTGACTGGAAGAAAAGAAAATAAAGCTGACTTTGGATGGTGTGACGTGGGCTTAGGCTTTTAAAGTTCTCTTATCTGACTATGCCAACACCCTGTATTCGTGACCTAAAACAGCCCTGGCCCTTGTGCCCAAATAGGGTTGGGCTGAATCCATGATCCAGTGATTACAGGTGAAGGCAGGATTGCCTGTGAGAGATTGCAAATGGATTGTTTCGGTTGAATTCTAGTTCCTAAAGGTGAACTACCAGTTGGTAATATTAATGAGCCTTCTTTCTGTTTGTATGTGTGTTTCTAACACTTAGCACACTGACTGGCACATAATAAATGCTCATTGGTTGTCTTAATAATGACAACAATAATAATGATGATAACAGCTAACATATATAATGTTTTAAGGTTTGCAAAGCTTAGACTTATTATCTGACTTCACCTTTACAATGGCCCTGTGAGGTAGGTGTGATCATCTCTCACTGACTTGGAAGGCTACCTCACAGGCTTATGGGTGTGACATAATACCAGAGTCTTAGATAGGCCATTTCAAAGTTAGGATGCTATTTTACAAATGCCTAATTGTAATAGAGTTATTGCTATTGAGTTGTTTCAGTTGTGTCTGACTCTTCATGACCTTAACTGGGGTTTTTATGGCAAAGATACTGGAGTTTTCCATTTCCTTCTTCAGCTTATTTTACAGATGAGGAAGCTAAGGCAAACAGGATTAAGTGACTTGCCCAGGGTCATACAGCTAGAGGCCAGATTTGAACTCAGGAAGATGAGTCTTCTTAATTCCAGGCCCAGCACTCCATCCACTGAACCACCTTGTCCCCATTTCATAGACAAGAAGATGGAATCTGAGAGAGATTAAATGACTTTTCCATGGTCTCACAGCTAGTAAGAGTCAGAGGCAGTATTAGAACTCAGACCTTCCTGATCCCAAGTCCAGCACTCTATCCACCACTAACAATAATAATATTAATTTGTAATTCTAACATGTTAATAATATATGTCATATACAATAATACATCATTTATTAATCAATCATATAGTATATAAATGTTAAACAGATATGCTTTAGATATGGACATATAGTATTATTAAAAACAAATAATAATAATTAGGCGTAGGGACTGCTTATGTGATTTCATTGGTACAGGGAACTCTCAGGTGAGGAAATTTCTGCTACCAATACAAGTTAGTACCATCTCTGCACCTTACAGTCTTTGAGAATTGCCTGCAACAAAGGTGGGCAACCTGCAGCCTCAAGGCCACACATGGCCCTCTAGGTCCTCAAGTGCGGCCCTTTGACTGAATCCAAACTTCACAGAACAAATCCCCTTAATAAAAAGATTTGTTCTGTTAAACTTGGACAGAGTCAAAAGGTGGAGCCCAAGGACCTAGAAGGCCACATGTGACCTCAGGCCGCACATTCCCCACCCCTGGCCTAGAGCACTGAGCAGTCAGGTGCCCTGGCCAGGGTCACCCATAGGAGGTTTCAGGGGCAGGATTCTAATCTAGATTCAAGTGAGAGGCAGCATTGCTTGTGTTAGCTGGAATTGAGATCTAGAAGAAAAAATGAAACTTAGGAACCACCTCCAAGGAATTTGCAATCCTCCTAATTAAGAAACATGCCAAAATACGCTGTAGCTCCTAGGTAGGGCTAGCTGGGTGAGTAAGCTGTGCTGATAGGCACCAAGCACAAGCAGAGTAGGAGGGATGTTTATGGATATGCAAACTTGTAGGGAAAAAGACCATAAAGACCATTTAGCCCAATCCCCACCTCCTTTAGTAGATGAGGAAACTGAGTCTCAGAGAGATTTTTATGGCTCACCCTAGTTCACGCGGCTCATTTTTCCCTAAGTACAAATGGGTCGTTCCTGATGTCTCCAATCTTTCGTTTCAGATGTGTGCAATAGTACCGATCTTCCCGAAGTTGAAATCATCAGTCTGCTGGAGGAACAGCTGCCCCATTACAAGCTAAGAGCAGACACAATCTATGGTTATGTTCACGACGACTGGCTCCACACTCCTCTCATTTCTCCTGACGCTAATATCGACCTAACAACTGAGCAGATAGAAGAGACGCTGAAGTATTTCCGTAAGTGGCCATCTTTTTAGGCTTGATAGTATAGTACTGTTCTATTTTGGTGTCAAAGTTACTGTGAAATCTGACCAAATCCTCTTTCAGATTGCAATACTGGAGATGTTTTACCAATTAGCACAATCAATTAAAATATTTTATTTTTCAATCAACAAGCATTTATTTTCTCTCCTCCCTTTCCCAGTTTAGAAGATGCACAGATTTGTGCATTGGCCATGTCTAAAAATGTTTATTTCATTCTCCATCTTGAATCTATCACTTCTTTGTTGAGAGGTGGGGTAGCATAGATCATCTAGAATTAGAACTGGCCATTGCATCGATCAGAGTGCTTAAGTCTTTCAAAGTTATCTGTCTTTACAATGTTGTTATTCTATACATTATTCTCTTGGTTCTGCTCACTTCGCTCTGTATCAGTCCATACAAATTTTCCCAGGTTTGTCTAAAGCCATCCTCTTTTATCATTTCTTACAATAAAATAATATTCCATCACATTTAGCCCTTCCCCAATCAATGGGCACCATCTGAGTTTCCAGTTCTTTGTCACTACAACAAGAGCTGCTATAAGTATTTTTGAACATATGGGTCCTTTTTGTCTTTGATCTCTTTGGGGTCTTGGCCTGGTAAGGGGACAAAGGGCATGCAAAATTTAGTGACTCTTGGGACATAGTTCCATGTTGCTTTCCAATACGAATTCAACAGAATCTCTTCTTTTATCTATAGTGAAGCTATTAAAGAAACTGCTATAGAGTTGAATTAATCAGTCAGTCAACAGTTATTTACTCAGTGCCTACCATGTGCTAGGAACTGGAATGACAAACAGGCTATATATTATTCATTTCATTAAATATTTCCCAATTACATTTTAATCTGGTCCTGGGGGCACTTGGGAGTATTGTGGGCCTCCCATTTGACACGTATATAGGGCAGCTAAGTGGTGCCATAGTGCATAGAGCACCAGGCCTGGAGTCAGGAAGACTTTTCTTGACCTGAGTTCAAAACCAGCCTCATACACTTACTAGCTGTGTGACCCTGGGCAAGTCACTTAACCCTGTTTGCCTCAGTTTCCTCATCTGTAAAATGAGCTGGAGAAGGCAATGGCAAACCACTCTAGTATCTTTGCCAAGAAAACTCCAAATGGCGTCATGAAGAGTTGGACAGGACTGAAAAACAACTGAACTGGGAAACTCTGTTTTTTATTTTATTAAGTGTTAGAGGTGGGATTTGAACCCAAGTCTCACACAGTATTATATTTACTATGCCATGCTGTCCTCTTGATTTCATTATTCATGTCAGCATTAATATTCTAATAATAATAACAAGTAGTATATGTGGCCTGATATTAGGTTGAGGAGCCAGATTTAGAATCAGGAAGACTTAGATTCAGGGCCTGGCTTTGTTAGACACTAACAGTGTGCCCCTGCGCAAGTCACCTATTTTTGCTGATGACAAGTATTCTTTCTTCTGTACCATCTTCTGTCCCCCCAGAAAACTCGATGATATTTAATTTGTTCCTGATGAACTTAATCTTTAGTAGTAAAGGGAGTTTCCATGTTAGGAGTTCCCTTATGGTTCTGAGACCTTACGAGTCCAGAACCTGAACCTTCCCTCTTCCTCCCTCCCCCAAATCATAATAACCAGAGTATAGGATCATAGATACAGACCTGAAACAAACCCAAGAGATGATCTCTTTACAGTACCTTCATTTTACGGATGAGAAATCTTGAAGCCTAGAAAACCTAAATGAGTTGTCCATGATTGACTAAAAAGTAACAAGTGAGATTTGAACTGGAGTCTTCTAATGTCAATTTCAGCCATTTTCTGCCCCCTCCCCAATCCCCCTTCTCTGCTTTCCTTCTTCCCAATACTATCTCCTATTATAATTATCTTATTGCCTAGTCTTGGGGATGGTGAAATTTGAATTCAGTCAAAGGGCCGCACTTGAGGATATGTGGCCTCAAGGCTGCAGGTTCCCTACCCGCCCTAGTGTGGTATATTTCTTCAGGTTATGTTCATATACAATACGTCCTTTTGTGATGGTAGGTTAGGTGATGGCTCATTAATCTAGATATTGCTGACTTGAATTTGATGATAATTCAGACCAGACTGCCCTGACAAATAACATCCGTCCTATCTGATGAAGAAAAGAACAACAAAACATTTCCTCGCCTCTTAAATAATCAACTTCAGTGGCATCTATTTACACATTGAGTATTTAATTACAAATGATTCTTTGGTACTCATTAACATGGGCCCAGGAGCCCTGCCTGTTCTCGGCATAGTTGTCAGTAATTATTTTGCTTGACTGAAATAATGTGGCATTTTTCTTTACAACAAAACAAAACAAAAATTTCTATCCTTCAGTGTGCTTACGAATTCATTCTAAATGCATGTAGCTTTACTTTGTTATTTCCAATTAGTTCTTCCTCTGACTGTTAGCTTGTAGGGAGTCATGTTTAGTTTAAAATGACCTGTGTGTTTTGTCCTTGACACATGCCTCAGACACCTCGTGGGGGCTGGAGACCATGGAGGGTGAGTCCATGCTGGAGCTGAGAACAATGTAAATATGATTCTGTAATTTATTAACAATGGAAGGTGACCCCTGTGACATACAGAAAGTACCTTACTGGGTCACTCACTTTACTTATGCTATCTGTCACCAGCCAGCTGGGATATTTTGGGCAAAACAGGGAACAAAGTCCTTGTTAGTTGACTTTTACTATTATCTTTTTGCTTTTGGAATGAAAAAAATCTGTTCCCTCCCACTTTTCTTGTAGATACTCTCACTACCCCAACGGATAGAATGTTTTTGCTTCTGGGGGCTACGTCTGAACTTTACCATGGCTGTATAAAAAGAGACCCCCTGAACTGAATGCAGATCAGAGGAGTGACCATTTTAGAGACTGTGTTTATCATCAGAAAGTGTTCAGAGATCTGAAGGTCGGACAGAGACACCTAAAGAGGGACACGAGTATGTCCTCGGTTCTATAGTTAAGTAAAAGCTTTTCATCCTGATGGATTTGGAAGAATTACAATGAGATGTCAATAAGACTTTGGGGACCCACTCTACGCCCTGTTTTATGCTTCATTTAAATTGAATCCAAGGATAGTTATTCATCTTGCTGCTGCTCTGTGGTCCCTCACGGTGGTGAGCACATAGTAGGTACCAATTCTTCCAAGATGTGGGTCCTCCCTTCTATCAATGCCGCTCACAACTTTCCCCTGCTTTTGTAGAGGGTCTCATACCCTGGCAGTCATCACCCTCTGGGGATGAAGCTTTCATACTTTCTTAGTCTGAGATTCAGACAAAATGCCGTACCATCTTAAAAACTTTTCCAGTTAGGTAGGCCCCAGCCAAAATCCCACCTTCCACAGGAAACCTTTCCTAAGCCCTTTTAATTTTAGTGCTTCCTCCTGTGGATTATCTCCAGTTTGTCCTGTATATATCTTGTTTATACATAATTGTCTCCTCTATTAGACTGTGAGCACTTTGAGGGCTCCTTTGGCCTTTCTTTGGGTAGGTGAGTGACTCAGGAGATAGATCCTAGACTTAGCTTAGAGAAGTCATTTAACCTCTGTCTGCCTCAAATGTAAAATGAAGATAATAATGACACCTACTTCAAAGGGTTGTTGTGAGGATCAAATGACATAATAATTGTAAAGCTCTTAGCAAAGTGCCTAGCACACAGTAGGTGCTTAATAAATGCTTATTGACTGACTAATCTAATTGGCCTTGAAGTCTATTACTATAGCCTTTAAGAAAACAGGGTCACCTCCAAGGCATAGCAGAAGTCTGAAACACCAAATTCGACATTTTATAACAGTCCTGTATTGGCTCAAATATGGGTCATCCTTCTTGGAAATCTTCTTATTGAGATGTTTCAGTCGCATCTGACTCTTCTTGACCCCATTTGGGGTTTTCTTGGCAGAGATGCTAGAGTGGTTTGCCATTTCCTTCTCCAGCTCATTTTACAGATGAGGAAACTGAGGCAAACAAGGTTAAGTGACTTAACCTAGGGTCACAAAGCTAATAAGTGTCTGAGGCCAGATTTGAACTCAGGAAGATGAGTCTCCCTGTTTCCAAACTCAGTGCTCTGTGCACTGTGTCAGACAACAAGCATTTATTGAGTAACTTCTGCATACCAGACACTGTGCTAGGTGCTGGGGGATCCAATATAAAGTCTGGCTACCTGCTCTTAGGACAATAGGTAGAGAAGCCATATTTGAAGATGAGCTGGAAGAAACCTTAGAGGTGAGTTAGTCCAATTCCCTAATTTTACGTTGAGGGAAAGTGTTACATGACTTACCTAAGGTCATACAATAAATATGGAGAGTCAAGTCCTGAACCCAGGGCATATACATAGGATGTCGATCTTGGAGTCAAGAAGATCCAGGTTCAAATTTAATCTATCTATGTAACCCCTGGCAAATCACACTTAACCCGCTCTGGGTCTCAGTTTCCTCATTTGCAAAATGAGGAGTTTGTCCTCACTGACCTTCAAGATCTCTTCCAGCCCAACATCTGTGATTCTGTTGTTTTTTTTTTTTAACTGCAAATATTCTCTCTTCTGTACCACGAGACCTCACACCAGGATATTGAACATAAAAAAAGCTTTCACAATAAATGTCTATTTTTATAGGTAATTTTTTATAATTGCTTCTTTCTTAGCCTACTGGTATGGCCAGCTTAAATCAATTTACTAGTGATTTAAACCAGACAAAAGGCCTCTTTTTCTCTACCTCCCAATCATGGGAAAGAGGCAATAATTAATCTCCAGTGCCTGCCTGATACTTTCCATTTCTAATCTTATATGTTTTACTTTTAAAATAACTTCTCTATCAGTGAAAGGGTTTCACAAGGATTTTGTGACTGCTACCAGGCAGATCAGAGGAAAATCTGGGTTGTGTGTCAGAACTGATTAAAGAAAAATCTCCTTCTCTCCCTTCTTTTCTCTGTGCCCAAGGCTTTGGCTTTTGTTTTTTGCTTTGATAAAACCAGC